GCAATTTCTGTGTTGTTGATGATATCACAGAGTGAACTTCAAGAGGAAGATGGAAGATGATAAAAGAAAGAGAAGTGAGGGTGTTACACGTGAATCTTGAAAACGATTTTGTTATGAATGATGAAGATTTGCAGAAAGGTGGATGAAGATCACAAAATTAAAGGTGATGAAGGCGATGTGGTGAAGACAGTGGTGCGGCTTCAGACAAGAGATGAAGATTGAAGATTCAGCGGTGGAGGAATAGAGAATTTCAGGGAAAGATCTAAGAGATGAGAGGATTTTTTTTTGCAGAATGAAGAATGTAGTGATGAAGAGTAGAGAGAAGTTTGTACGATTCCATCGTAACACCAACAAATTCGTCATCTTTTTCTATCTTCTTATTTTATTTTCCTCTGTAAGTTTCTATGTTCGTATATTTGAGTTCTGCATTTATGTTGCTACTATCAAGGCAATTTTGACGCAGTGATGCGGTATTATGATGAAGAAAATTATCGTTGCTGTCATTGATATTATAGTGATGAAGTTGTTGCAATTTCTGTGTTGTTGATGATATTGCAGAGTGAACTTCAATAGGAAGATGGAGGATGATAAAAGAGAGCAAAGTGAGGGTGTTATACGTGAAGCTAGAAAGCGATTTTGTGATGAATGATGAAGATTTTCAGAAAGGTGGATGAATATCACAAAATTAAAGGTGATGAAGGCGATGTGGTGAAGACGGTGGTGCGGCTTCAGAGAAGAGATGAAGATTGAAGATTGAGCGATGGAGGAATAGAGAATTTCAGGGTAAGAGCTAAGCGATGAGAGAATTTTTTTGTTATTTCTGCAGAATGAAGAATGTAGTGATGAAAAGCAGAGAGAAGTTTGTACAATTCCATTGTAACACCAACAAATTCGCCATCTTCTTCTATCTTCTTCTTTTCTTTTCCTCTGTAAGTTTCTATGTTCGTATATTTGAGTTCTGCGTTTATGTTGCTACTATCAAGGCAATTTTGACATAGCGATGCAGTATTGTGATCAAGGAAATTGCCGTTGTCGTCATTGATATTATAGTGATGAAGTTGTTGCAATTTATATGTGTCGTTGATGATATCGCAGAGTGAACTTCAAGAGGGAGATGGAGGATGATAAAAGAGAGCGAAGTGAGGGTGTTATACGTGAAGCTTGAAAGCGATTTTGTGATGAATGATGAAGATTTGCATAAAGGTGGATGAAGATCACAAAATTAAAGGTGATGAAGGAGATGTGGTGAAGACGGTGGTGCGGCTTCAGAGAAGAGATGAAGATTGAAGATTGAGCGATGGAGGAATAGAGAATTTCAGGGAAATAACTAAGAGATGAGCGAATTTTTTTGTTATTTCTGTAGAATGAAGAATGTAGTGATGAAGAGCAAATAGAAGTTTGTACTATTCCATCATAACACCAACAAATTCGTCATCTTCTTATATCTTCTTGTTTTCTTTTCCTCTCTAAGTTTCTATGCTCGTGTATCTGAGTTCTGCGTTTATGTTGTTACTATCAAGGCAATTTTGACCCAGCGATGCGGTATTGTGATGAAGGAAATTGTTGTTGTCGTCATTGATATTATAGTGATGAAGTTGTTGCAATTTCTTTGTGTTGTTGATGATATCGCAGAGTGAACTTCAAGAGGAAGATGGAGGATGATAAAAGAGATCGAAGTGAGGGTGTTATACGTGAAGCTTGAAAGCGATTTTGTGATGAATGATAAAGATTTGCAGAAAGGTGGATGAAGATCACAAAATTAAAGGTGATGAAGGCGATATGGTGAAGACGGTGGTGCGGCTTCAGAGAAGAGATGAAGATTGAGCGATGGAGGAATAGAGAATTTCAGGGAAAAAGATAAGAGATGGGAGAATTTTTTTTGTTATTTCTGCAGAATGAAGAATGTAGTGATGAAGAGCAGAGAGAAGTTTGTACGATTCTTCTACTGACCCCCCCCCCCCCCCGAAATCTAAGTGAGAAACATGTTATATAGATAGTTGAGAGTTTGGTGCAACTGAAGAGATCTGAACCATTGGATCCTGAAGTCTGTTATAGATGGATGGTAGAGATGAACTCAGTTAAAAGGTTAGTTACAACTATGTTATTGAAGTTTTGATTCTGTTTGGCTATTTCTGTTAGAAATTCACTTGAAAACTAAATGTTAATTATTGGTGAGCGGTGGATATAGGAATCAGTTAGTAACTATTTTTGGTTATTTAGAATTTTTCCTCCCTTTATACTTTCATGATTTCTCACTTCCGATTTTATTTCCTCATAGGTTTTTTTCTGATCTTAATGATGTAGGCTGCAGGCTTGTATTGGAAACGCTTTACGATATATATATATATATATATATATATATATATATATATATATATATATATATATATATATATATATATATATATATATATATATATATATATATATATATATATAGCCAAGTTACTAGGGAACATAAAAAGAGCGTGAAGACAACCCTTGCGGAACTTCACGTTACAATAAGTAATGTTGCATACAGACTGAATATCATACCTTTACTAAGGCTGGCTTGTAGGTCTGTTTTTGGTTCAACTTTAGGTTTTACTGATATGCTTGTTCAGCACATACCGGATGATGAAGAGGACATGACTGTAACGAAGTTATGGGTTTATCAAGCTCACAACGGGATACCAATAGCTGAGGCTCTTCCCGGTGATATCTTTCTGATCCTGGCTTTTTCGAAAGCTTATTTTCCTCTTCTCTTTCTCTGTATTATGAAGGGATTTTTGAGTGAGGGAAAATGATGCACCCAGTTTTCTTTAGGGTTTGAGATGTTGTTTGTGCAACTTCTGAATTTTTTTGTATCATTCCCCCCTTGAAAATGTTTCATTGAAGGCTTTTATAGATGAGATATTTTAGGGTTTGATTGTTGTTTTGTGAGTTTGCTGAGATTTATTTAACAGGCTTGAGTGAAATCTGACTTGGGCCTTTCGAAATCTGATTTTTGTTATTTTCAGATATCTTAACATACTGTTGTTTGGGATGAGATTTATGATTTCTGAGTTGCCCTTTGCTATATGTTGGACCTGTGATGCTTGTTGGGCTTGTACACATGATTCTGATTTTGCTATCTTACTGAATTCTTTGGTGATGGTCCCGAGCTTGTAGTAACTGACTTGTTGTTTTAATTTTTTGATGTTGGAATTCTTTTGTGAACAAAAACTGGTTTTGAGATTTGCAATAGAATTTTTCCCATGATTAGCATTGAAATTATGATTTTATGAGGCTTTAATGTATGCTTGAATCATGATTGAAAAACACCCTTAATTCTCGGATTCCAAACTCAAAGCCCTAATGGTGAAACTTGAATAGAAAACTCCTTGAAAACTCTTTTGCTTGTGTTCATGTTCAAGTTTCTTTGATTGTTTGGTAACAATTTTTATTCTTATTGTTTCATGAGCAAATGATGGTCATGGCATGGAGAATAAAGAGGAAGTAACTGTGGCTAGCATGAAGCATTCTCAGAGTTCTTTTTTGGAAGATGTTATGAAGTGAGAAGCTTTGAAGTAGAAAAAGTCTTGGAGGAAGATTCAAAAGAACAACCCTGAAAAGCTCTATAGGATTAGGCTTATTAGTTTAAGAATTCCTCTTGATTTTGCTTTGTAATCTTAGAACTTAACTTAGAAAAAAGAATGATGGATACTTGTTATTGTGAATGATGGATGTGATATACTTTTGTCTTGCAAACTTAGACAATGAATGATGTTTAAGAAGTTTGAGAATTGTAAATTAGCTTGAATGAATATATGGGATGATATTGATTTTGGATAAAATTTGAAAGAAAACAAATTTAAATGATGCACTTGAAAAAAGAAAAGAATGATGAATGGACTTGAAAACTATGAGACTTCGTAGAGTTTGCACTTGAAATTGATAATGGCATGATTTTGAAATAATGATCACAAACAAATCTCCAAATTTCTTCTCATTTCTAAACTTGATAAACTGTCAAAACATTTTAAGCAAGACAATCAAAGCAATTAACTTCCCTCCAATAACTCTTTTTAGAATGCACCCTAGTAATGCACTATAATACGTCTAAAAATGATGCACTCTTGCACAACATACTTCAAATTTTATCCTAAAAAAGATGACCCAACAAGTGATCTCAAAAGTTATTTAATTATAGGAACCAGATAAAATCTCTTAGTGAAAATTCACATAGAAAAAACCTTTTTACTCACTGAACTCAAGAAGGAAATCTCGTCTTTGGGAGAATCTTCTAGAAAGATAAAAAATGGAATCAGAGAAGAGAAATTCCAATGAATCCCAGTTGGTGATTGAGTGTGTATTGAGATAAAACTCAAGATGGTAATGCTCCAAGAATTCTTATTAAAGTTACACATTTCAGTAATCCAAAAGCCTAGCACAAAAGCCATTAGATTTCAAGATCAAAATATTGCAAAGAATCAGTGAGATATCTTGAGGCCTGAAAAGTCTTGGTAGCCTGAACGATCAAAATAATGAGGATATGAAATCCATCTTGGACTGATTGATGAAACAACCAAATTCCAAAATTCGAAGAAAATCAAGAAGGTAAGAATACCTTGATCCCATTACAATGCATGAATGCAATGTAATATGATGATTATGATAAAACATAAACCTAAATCAAGAGGATAAATTTTGGGGTGCAACACTATGAAGATTCCTTGAAGCTTTATAGGTGATTTCAATGTCATTCTCGGGGCTCATGAGCAGGGCCGACCCAATTAGTCTGGAGGCCCTGTTCTAATTTAGAAAATAGGCCTAAATTAAAAAATAATACACTTTAAAATTTATGATTTCACACCTGTTTTTACAAAAATCGGTTTTAAATTCTAAAAGACTGAAAATGAATCGCGTTTTTACAGCAGTTTTTAAAAAAAAAACAGGTGTAAGATATATCGTTTTTGTAATTAAAAAACATAAATGGGCCCTAAAATTTGGAGGGGCCAGTGCTCTAGCACTTGTTGCACATGGGAAAGGCTGGCCCTGCTCATGAGCACCGTGGCACGTGTGTTCCTAATCATATTCCTATTAAAGATTTTAAAGACTGGTTTGATACGAATAATATGATGGAGATTCCTACCAGTGGTAATGTTTTCACGTGGTATAATAACGGGCGGTATGATAGAGCTTCGGTGGAAATAAAATTGGACAGAGCAATTTGCAATACTGATTGGATCAATACCTGCTTCTCTATGAGTGTCGTGGTTCTTCCATGATTTCGCTCGGATTATCACCCTTTATTGGCAGAGTTTTCGTTCAATAATCTTCATTTTAAAAGTTCTTTGGTATGTGGACATTTAATAACACCTGCAGGGATGTGGTTGAGGATTGTTGGGTGTCCAATATGGATTATGTTTAAAAAGCTTTAACATCTGAAGTAAAGGTTAAAAAAGTGATATTGGAAAACTTTTGGTAATATTCAGAACTTGCGGAAGATTCAAGACCAGATAAAAAATTGCTGTTACTCTCCGTTTTACGTGATAAAGAAAAAGCTGCTCCATTGGAGTTAGAAACTGTCCTGAAACAGGAGGAAATGTTTTGGGCGGAGAAGACAAATATGGAGTGGTTTCGTGATGGAGACCACATCACTGAGTATTTCCACATAATAGCTAAAGTCAAAAGATCCAGAAATACCATTTCGCTGCTCATGAATGGGGATCAGGTTGTTATCGATAAAAAAGGTTATGGCTGAGCTTGCAGTTAATTATTTTACTAATCTTTTTTGTTTTGCAGGTTCGACGTCAGATCTGTCCTATGTTGACGAGGTTATTCCTGCTTTAGTCACCTCTTCCATGAACAACATTCTGACTATTCTTCCTTCCAATGAAGAGATACAAAACGCGGTTTTTAATCTCAACAAAAATAGCACCTCAGGCCCAGACGAATTTGGCGGTATTTTTTATCACACTTACTGGAATTTAATAAAAGATGATGTTTGTGTAGCCGTTATTTAATTTTTTTCAAAATGGTTGGATTCTTCCCAATTTCAATGTCAGCAAAATCATCCTTATCCCCAAGACTCTCAAGGCTCACTCAATCCATGGATATGTTCAGACCAATAGCGCTTTTCTAATTTCAAATTCAAAATCATCACCAAGATCATTGTGACTAGGCTTTCTTCCTTAATTCCTTCCCTCATTTCGAAGGAGCAACGGGGGCTTCATTCAAGGTATAAACATTAGAGACTGCATTTGTCTTGCATCGGAAGCCATAAATGTTCTGGATAACAATAGAAAAGGTGGAAATATTGCCATGAAAGTTGATATCTCGAATGCGTTTGTCACCATCAGTTGGGATTTAATTCTTAAAGTCCTTTGTAGTTTTGGTTTCTGCATCACCTTCTGTAATTGGATTAGAGCCATCCTTTCTTCTGCTTTTCTCTCGATCATTTTCAACGGTGAGCTTCATGGTTATTATTTCAATTGTAATCGGGGCGTCCATCAAGTAGACTCTTTATCCCTTCTGCTTTTTTCTTTAGCATAAGAGTTTTTAAGTAGAGCTATTATTCTAGCTGTTTCTAAAGAGGAGATTGATCTGATCAAAGCCTCTAGACATAATTTGGTGCCATCTCATGTCATTTATGTGGATGACATCATGTTATTCTGCACAGGGAAGCTCTCGAATATCAAGGTTTTTAAAGAGGTTCTTTCCCGTTTAATTATCTAGAAATTCTGATTTTCAAAGGTCTGTTTAAAAACTGCCACATTGCTCCCATTGCTGTCCGCATTATTGCGAAGATGTCGTCATGGAAGGGATCATGTCTCTCTATGGACCGGTCGTCTAACCTTGGTTAAATCTATCGTTCATAGTATGCTCATATATTCCATTAATGTTTACAATTGCCCTACTACTTCTCTTAAGAATCTGGATAAAGCTTGTAGAAACTTCATTTGGTCTGGCAGCACGGTTAATAGAAAGTTATGTGTAGTTTCTTGAAAAAAAAGCTTGTATGTCTGTCTCCAAAGGGGGCCTTGGGTTGCAATCTTTAATTTACTTAAACGAAGCGACCAACTTGAAGCTTCTCTGGGATTCTTGGTTCCCGTTTTTGCTTCTGTGAATTGCCTATATTCTGCCTCCGGATAACAATGCCATGGATTTTCTATGCTGGAACCGCAACACTTCTGGTCTCTTAGTTACAAAAGATGCTTATTAATTCAAGGCAGATTTTGGATCAGACTTTCCTTGGAGCAAAGCGATTTGGCATGCTAATATCCCCCCAGCAGATCCATTATCGTTTGGAAAATGAATCACCAGAAGATTCCTACAGACGATTTTCTTATGGATATAGGTGTTCAGATAGCCTCCCGCTGTTCTCTTTGTGGCGAGGAGACCGAAACCTTTCGTCACCTCATCTCCAGTTGCAAGTTCTCGGGGCGGTATTGGAAGTGGCTAATGATTAAATTTTCTTTTCATTAAAGGTTGCTCCTGTGATCAAAGAAGTGAATTGGTCTCCTCCTGTGTTGGGATGCATCAAATGTAACAGTGAGGACGCTTTTATTCCTGTTAGCTCTCAGGTTGGTGGTGGTGGAATTTTCGGTAATCACTTTGGAGATTTTTTTTGACTTTTGCTGATAGTTTTTGGGGTGTTTCCTCCATACATGCGGAATACGGGGTGTTAATCAAGCCATGAAGATTTGCATTGAAAGAGGTTGGTCTAAGGTTTGGTTTAAAACTGATTCTAGTTCAATTGTCAAAGCTTTTACCGACCATAATTTAGTTCCTCTCATTTTTAGAAATAGATGGCGTTTCTGCCTCCTTCATCATAGATTTTCTCACATTATCATCACTCACATCTATAGAGAAGGTAATACTTGTGCCATTTTTTTGATAAATTTCGTGCTCGACATTAATTCTACCACTTTTTTTGATTCCATACCTCCGGGTATTCATAATGATTTTGTGAAGAATAGGTTAAGACTTACCGTTCTTTAGATTCTTATAATCTCCGGGGTTAACTTGTTCCCCTTTTTGTATCTATTTTTCTTTGATATATAATAGCCCGTATTAAAAAAAATACTTTAACATTTGATAAATTTAAACTTCAAAGAAACCATAACCGTAGCTGTTTTGTTACCATCCTATCACAATATGCTGATTGTCTCGCTCTTGCTGTAACGAGACTCCCCACCACTTTCAATATTTTTCTATTCACATTTCTTATATCATCAACGTTACTGCTCTTCATTTTTTATTTCACATATTCAAGCTGAAAATCACTGTACAACTCAAATGCAATAACTCGTTGATCATATTAGATCCCAACAAGTTTGTTATAATCATTAATAACCTCTCTCTTTTGTTCTGGGTCTGGGGGTATTGGTTTCTTCACTTATTTTATGTAGCTTCTACTTTCATCCATGTCATATAGATGTGAATAAGTTTTACATTGGGTGTCCAAGTTATCAGACCTGCGCTAATCATAGTCACTCTTAACTATTCATAATTTCTCTCAAATTCAGGAATATGTCGATCTTCAATCCTTTGATAAAAATATCGGCCAACTGTGCTTCACTTGAGAAATTCCTAACTTCAAGTTCACCTTGATTTACCTTTTCCCTCAAGAAGTTAAACCTATCTTTGATATGTTTACTTCTTCCATGCATAACTGGATTCTTCGCTAGATTTATGGTTGACTTGTTGTCGATTTGTAACACTAGAGGTTTCTTCACTTCGACCTCCAATTATTCGAGTACAAGTCAGATCTAAATTGTTTGATATGCAGCATAGGATCCTGCTATATATTCACCTTCACACGATGACAATGCCACCATTGGTTGCTTCCTCGAACACCATGGGATTGAGGCACCAAATACTTGAAAGAAATATCTAGTTGTGATTCTTCAAACTTCCTTATCTCCACACCAATCAACATCTGAAAAACAAGTAGTTGTTGCTTCTTTTCCTTTAGAATCTCATCGAAATAGAATTCCATATTCTATCGTTCCTTTTAAGTATCTTAGAATTCTTCAGGCAGCCTTCATGTGCGACATTCTTGGTTCACCCATAAATTTTCTCACTAATCTGACTGCGAAACCTATATCAAGTCGACTGTTGCACACATACCTCAGAGACCTCACGGTTTGCTTGAACATAGTTACATCGAATTTGTCTTCCTCTTCATTCTTCTCCAACTTCACATTTGGTTCGACAGGTGAGGATGCAGAATTCAAATCATCCAATCTAAATTTGTTGAGTATCACTTTGACATACTTCCTTTAATGTAGCACCATATCTTACTTCTACATTTGAAATTCCATGCCTAGGAAATAAGACGATTTTCTCATATCCGAGATTTCAAATTCTCTCATCGTCAGGTCTTTGAATTTCGACAAGTTCTCCAAGTTATTTCTTGTTATCAGCAAGTCATCGACATACAAGTAGATGATTGTTATATCTTGTGCTACAACCTGAATATAGACACCATACTCTGATTTGAATTTGACCAACCCTAATTCGACTAAGTATGAGTCGATCTTCTTGTTCCATGCCCTAGGTGTCAGCTTGAGGCCATAGAGCGCTTTGTGCAACTTATATACTTTACTCGCTTCCTTCTGAATCACAAACCCTAGCGGATGTGTGACATAGACCTCTTCGCCTAAAGTACCATTCAGAAATGTTGATTTCACATCTAAATGAATGTCGACCAGCCTTGGTTGCATGCCAATGCTACCACTAGTCGAACAGTCTCCAATCTTGCTACTGGAGAAAATACTTTAGAGTAGTCGAGTCCTTCTTGTTGAAGAAACCCTCAAACTACTAATATTTCTTTATGTCTTGATATCGAATCATTAGTATTGTGTTTCAACTTAAATACCCACTTCAATTTAATAGCTTTTGTATGTGCTGGAAATTTGACTAACTCCCATGTATTGTTTCTTTCAATTTCCTATAACTCTTCGACCATAGATAAATTCCATTATTTAAGCTTCAAAGCATCGTTATGGTTCATTGGTTCAACATCTGCAAGTAAAGCAAAATGAACTAATTCTCCATTTGGTGTGACTTCATCATCATCCACCACTTTATAATTATGATTCTTGTTGGCAGAACTTTATTTCTTTGAGGTCTTTGGCTTGTTTCAGCCACATCCTTTTCAACTTTGACTGTTTCTGGAATGTCAACAACCGCTTCAACTTTGATTGTAATATTAGCAATTTCTTCGACTTCTAATTCATCAGTTTCTTCATCGAAACTATAACTTATCAATGGCTTGTTAATTGCATCATTAGAATTCCAATCCCAGGCATAATTTTCATCAATCACAATATCCCGAATCAACACAATCTTCTCATTAACTGGATTGAATAGCTTATATGAACCACTTTTATGATATCCTACCAGAATCATAGGTTCACTCTTGTCATCAAGCTTCCTTCTTCTCACATCAGGAACATGTTTGTAACACATAGAGCCAAACAACTTCAAATGACTCACTGATGATCGTTTGCAACTCCATACTTCTTCGGGAACATTGTTCTTCAATATCTTGGTAGGGTACCTGTTCAAAATATAAACTACAGTCGAAACAGCTTCACCCTATAAGGATTTTGACAAATTCTTTTGCTTCATCATGCATCTCGTCATATCCAATGTGGTTCTGTTTCTTCTTTCTGCAATTCCATTATGTTGAGGTGTATAAGGAGCCGCTACCTCATGATCGACACCATGTTCTGCACAAAAATATTCAAACATATTGGATGTGTATTCGCCACCTCTATTTGTTCGTAGAACTTTGATCCTCTTATCACTATGGTTTTTGACAAGTATCTTGAATCTCTTAAAGATTTTGAATACTTTGTCTTTTCTCTTGATCACATAGATCCACAATTTTCGACTAAACTCATTGACAAACGAAACAAAATATCTATCTCCATTAATGGCATGTTCTTCAAATGGACTACATACATCTGAATGTACCACTTTGAGTATGCATGATGATCTTATTAACATAGTCAAAACAAAAGAGTTTCTGGATTACTTTCTGACTAAACAACCTTCACAGAGTTTGTCAGGCATCTCAAGACTTGGGATACCAGATACCATATCTTGAGTAATCAACTGATTGAGTGATCTAAATTTCAAATGTTCAAACCTCAAATGCCACAACCAACTATCCTTATTGTCAATAATATTTTTAGACATTATACTTCAGTCGAACTGATCATAGTCTTAAATGTCCTGTTCTTTGACAGAGGATATTTTAAGACCAAATTATTCTTGGTGTCGAACAATTTTAAAACTCCATCTTTCATGACAACTGAGAAACTTTTTTCGACTAGTTGTTCAACACTTAGAAAATTACACTTCATTCCACGTAGATAGAACATAAATTTGATCATAGCTTTCCCTATATTACTCATTTGAAAGACTATGTTACCAGTACCTTCTGCTTGCAACGACTATTATCAACAAGTTTTACCTTGCTCTTCTTTGAATCGTCAAAATCTTCCAACCACTCCTTTCGACCAATCATGTGATTCGAGCAGTCTGAGTCGAGGAACCAGGTCTTGGATTTGACATGTATGATACAATGGGAGAATTGACTTGGTTGTTTTGCGTTTTATCGTAAAATGTTGCGGTTAGCAAGAGTCGCCACCGAATTTTTTTTATCCAAAAGGAAAGGTGAAAAAGCACAGGAAAGACCTTTGAGATTATTTCTTGAGTTCGGGGGGTAGATTATGAAAAGGGAAGGTATTAGCACCCTTTTCATCCATGGTTTTCCACGGGCTCTTAGCTACTTGCTAGATCACTTGCTTTTGTTTGAAATTGTGCTTTGTGTGGTTTTGGAAAGTATTTTGAAGAGGTGTCATCGTTTAGGAAAACTTTGTAATGATTCTCGTTCGCAAGAATGTATACAAAGTGTTGATCTTTTGAAAATGTTTTCAAGTTTTGAAAGATGTTTTTGAAAGTGTGGGTGTTTGTTTTGAAAATAGCAAGGATATTTTGTTTTGAAAATGAGCAAGTAACTAGGAACATTCTACCTACTCAAAAGTCTTTCATGTTCATTTCCTTTCTCCTTTGACATTGTTATCTTACCATTGATTTGGTAAGTAACTCTATCTTTGGATGTAAATGGGACGGGCGTGAGTCATCGTATAACCATGATTAGCAATGTTGCAAGGTATATTAGCATCTTTCTTTAGGGACTAAGATCATTTTGAAAAGGCAACATAGATAGCGTCATCGAGGGACTATGATCTTGTATTTTTTGCTTGTTTTTGCTAAGATACCTCACATGCGTAACGTGGCCATTTTTATAAGGCAACCAAGTGGATTTTACCCTAGGGGTGTGTTGTACCCCAAAAATTTCCCTCTCATTTCTCAAAGGATCATCCTGGACCCTCAGGTTTGCTTCCATCCAATTCCAAGCCTTGAATTACAAATTTTTCAAGAAAGTTATTCACAAGGGCAAAATGATCATTTATGCACTGAAAAGTCAAGCTTTTACCTTTGGATCAAAATCAAGTTTCAAGAGTCATATTTCATCAAGACATGTTGAGATATGAAGTGTGTTTCATCAAGAAATTCAAAAGTCAAAGTTATTTTGGAAAAGTCAAAATTCTAAATACTAAGTTGTTTAAGAAATATGATAAGCTCAGAACTTCTGACACAAGAGTTATGGACTCTAACAAGATCTGAAACATTGCAGAACAGAACATCACCTAGGAATGTTGGGATTTTAAGTTATAACTCCTCAAAGACATGTCCTTGAAACTGAAGCACTCAGCAAATTCTGAACAGTTCCAAGACAGAGTTTGGTTACAACTTCTGGGCCAGTTTTCACAAAGATTCAGTCAGAGTTTGCAAGGGTAATTCAAATAAGGTTTACAAAGCGTGTTGCAAGCTTCCTGGAAAGTCTGAGAGCTCCTTCAGAACATGCTGGAGCAAAGAGATTCAAAGATCAAAAGTTGGATGTCTATTCTAAATTACGC